CGGAATGTGTACTACGGTAAAAAGTTAACGCGGCTGATTGCCCGAGAAGATTGTATTGAATTTGTTCCCGAAACGTCGGTGTACTACGGTAAAAAATTAACGCGGCTGATTGCCCGAGAATATTTTATTGAATTTGATTCCGAAACGTCGGTTTACTACGGTAACCAGTTAACGCTTCCGATTACTTATAGTATTGTGAATATAGGCATTCGTCCATGTGAGCATTCGTACGTGTGAGCATTTGTCAGTGTGAGCATTTATCAGTGTGTGCATTTGTCAGTGTGAGCGTTTGTCCTTGTGAGCATTTGTCCGTGTGAGTAATTTTCGTGTGAGCATTCATGACAGTGAGCTTCTTTCTGTGCGCAATTTTCGTGTACGGTTTTGTCTGGTCACCGGTAATTTGCGCACCAACACACACTAATATTCTTTCAAATCTCTCCAACACTCCTACATCTCTGTCTTACATCACCATGTGTGAATGTCATAATATTTATGGTTTTTATGTCTTTATCTTGTGTGATGTTTTCATTTCATATACAGTACATGTAGAACTATTCATTTGTGTGTCAACATACCTAGTTATTAATCAAGACTTAACACAGCTGCATTCACACATTCTCATTTAACTGACATGGTAATAAATCTGTCTTTTGCAGATTTACCTAACTCAGTTTTTTCAAGGAATTTAACCTCTGCAGTGGACAAGAGTTTACTGAAGTTTAAATGAGAATGTACTTGCATGTATCACTTCCCTTTCCACCAAATTACTATTGAATAACCTATATATTATCAAAATATACCTGACAAATGATTACTATTCCTTTCTTGCAGTTGAGATAAGCTGGTGGGAAAAACTGGATATTGAACATCTCACCATTATTATTGCAATTGTAGTGGGAGCTATTTTAATGGTGCTCATTGTTTGCATCATAATTATCATCGTGTGCAGAAGGAAACGTGCTGAAGACAAGTGTAAGTAGATAGGCATGTGCACGTGCAGGATAGTCCATATTGGATGGGTAAAGTAGTAGAAACCTTCTTCTGCACTTGGAAGTTGTTTGCTTCTTCAGTTGTGCATGGTAAGAACATATGATGCACTTGCATGCAATTATTTAATGATTGTTCAAGGCATTCATGTTTTATAATGTTTGTTTTGTATGGAGAAATGTGTTTTTGGTAAAGTAATTATTTATAAATAATTTATAATAATATAAAAATGTTTTATAATGTGTGCTTATATTCATACATGTATGTGTGTGTGTATTTTTACTAACATTAAAACAAAGTTAAACTACGATTTCAATATGAATAATTAATATTTTAATTATGATGAAAATGTAGTTTATTTTGGTACTATATAATATCACTGACTAGTGCTAAAGGATAAGAGGTTTGAGAACCTTTCATTCTTATTACAAAATATATACCTACTGAATTAGTGCTGCCTTTAATTGTTTAAAGTCACTGGTTAATGTATACATTCGTAAGCATATTTGTGATTAATTTCAGTTAATTAAAAGATTTTAATGTTTCTTATCTAGTCTTTCTGATGTTAATACAAATTACATTCAATAGAATATCATGCTGCAGTTTAGAGCGAAGATGGAATGCCTCATGACCATTATGTGCATCATTTTAACACTATGTAAACTTTTCCCATTGCAAATCACTTTTAAATGTTCTGTCATATCTGCTCTGTTAATAAGATTTCAGAGTAGCGATTTTTCTGTACTTGGGTTTCTAGTAGAAGCACAAATGTGCACAGTTTTCGTCAATTATTATAGAATTGTAAAAGAAAAAGGAAAATGTATTCCAAATGTAAACTGAAATGACTAAACCTGCTGCTAAATTAAGTTATTCTAAGCTGAATTTATTCATATATAAGTTATTATGAAGATTTACACAATTTTTTATCAGTGGCATCAGTGATATCATATATATGGTTAATATTAGAGTTTGCTAGCTTCGGTAAGCATGTAATTTTTCTATCACAGATCTATCAAGCTGTGGGTTCACTTGCATGTATGTGGTTTTGGGAAATCTAGGAAAGCTGATGCCTCCTGGACATCGAATTACTACAAATGACATTGTCAAGCAAATCAAGTAACATGTGCTAATTTTAACTCATTAACGAGCAAGTTGACTAACATAATGTTTTACCTTTAATTTATAGACAATAATCCAGTGGAGATGGAGGAGAGAGAAAAGTAAGTGTCTGCTATGCTTTATTGCTTCTTATCTCTGGTTTACTTTTCACATTGTCAAGGTAATTTTATATCCTCAGGTTGCATAAATGTGTTTAGTGGATAGGACGCTGATCATATGAGTTCACAACTGTACATTATATTTGTTCCCATTGATATCTGTAACTATTTAATATTTTGTTACTCACTTTCTGGTTTATAATAATAAGAATAACGCTTTTCATGGTTTGTCTCCTACAATAGCTCAGAATGGAAAAAATGGATGTCATTTTTCACTTGCCTTAAGAGATTTTATTTTTCTAAAACTCAATTCAGAAATTTAGCAATGTAATAATTCAGACTCTAAATCATTATTCTATGATGACTTAGGGATGTTATGCTTCTAATATACTTTAAATATAATATTACATAATTCAATTATCATTTTTGTATTTTACATTCTGCTGTAACGATGTGTAACATTTTTTCCTGTGCAAAGCATGTTTTCCATCAGTATCTTAAAGTAGTATGTACTCATCTTGGTACATCTGTGAAATTTTGGTTTCTTTGGTACTTTCTCTTTCACTCTTAAAGACTTCTATAAAATACTGCTATGCTGTTGCTAAGAAAGGATTCCCATGTAGATGTATCATATTTTGTAAAATATAAATTTGCACCCAGCCCCAACTGCACTTGATAATAGCTTACAATCCAAATTTTATGAATAAATATAAATAAAAATGTACCCATTATGTTTCAAACTGTAATTTATATTTGTCTTGCCACAATTTCTGTATTTAAATAATTTCAAAACAGAAACAGATAGACATTAGCATTAAGTTTCATAATTTATTTTGATACGTCTTACATAGAAAGGTAAGCTAATCTAATTTTTTCTCTAATGAATTTTCATCTTAAAAACTACAGTAGAAACTTACAATTTTTGCAGTGGGTATCAGAGGTTTGTCACAAATCTGTACGGTCCTCACAAAACGTAAGTATGTGTTATGTTTTCTGCATACCTGCCTTATTCTGTTATCTGTTATTTGTTTACTGTGCTGTCATTCATTTACTGTGGTGTGGTTAGTAGTTTGATTACCCAGAATATAAATTAGTCAGAACTTCCATTTTGTTTGCAAGCAGCTTGTAAAAAAACAATGTAACATAAAGTAGAGTAGTTTTTTGTGTAAATTACATCTAGCATTAAACTAAATAAATCTAATCAAGCTTCACATTATATCACAGAACCAACTGTTTGAGTTTTATTTCAAGCAAAAGATTTTGTATGCTTATAATTTCCCTAAAATAATAATTTTGTCATATGCCAAAATTAAATTTATGTCATATATGACTGACACAATTCATATAAGTGAACAAGACTCACTGAAAATAAAATGCATTTTTTAAAATACATAGAGAAAATCTATGATTGTGTGAAAGCTTTGACCGTGGGAATCCTTTTCTCTTGCAACAACATTTCAGTTACACTTCTCATCGGGCCGTTCACCACTGATAAGCTCTAATTGTTATTGTCATGCAAAGATTCCTATCCCGCAGTCCCGAGGGACGACCAACAATTGATGCATCTCCAACCTCCATGACTCTAGCTTCTTCTCCTGACAAACAATGTCCAGGTAATTTCCACTTCAATTTTATGCATTAGTTCCCGCTAAATAGACTTTGCTCAGAATGGCCTCATGTTGGGCCATGAGAGTGAACTTTATATCATTGAACAGTAACTGAAGTGTTGTTTGTTTTCTTTTTTCTTTATGAAAAACAAGATCTTAGTGAGCATTTTCTTCAGTGACATTCTTAAACGTTATATTTTATTGGTCACATGGATGCACTTAACATTTTTATAGGCTTTCAAATCATGAGTATGACTTTTATAAAATCTCATATTAAAGTTCACTGTCAGGCCTGTCACATTGCTCGGAGCAGCCAAAAATTAAATACAATTGTAGTTTTGGTATTATAGATTAGTTCACATGCATCTTTCTGTCACTATTAAATTTAAAGACGTTTCCTTGGAGCAGCATATTTCTCATTGCTAACTGCATGCTTCCGTTTCATGCATTGTTCATTTACTGTATCACTTCTATACACATCTATTCTGCTACTTCACTGATTTTTCTATTTTAATTTGGTAGAGTTGAAAGGTAGTAATGTAAGTTTATTATGTAATGAGATTCCATTTCTTCTACAGTGATCATAATTATTTTGAGAATTCTGCTCTACATACTTAATTTGTAGATATCCTTTTGCTGCTTATACACACATAATATTATTTAATTTTATATACGAGGGGCAGTCTAAAAGTTCCCGGAATTGTGTTATAGCACTGTAATGGTAGGACATATGGCAACGCTTACCTAATCACCTTCAAAGTAGGACCCTTGTGCACACACACACTTGCTCCATCGATCCTGCCATTGTTGGAAGCACCGGCGGAAGGCTTCGTTTGGAATCTTCTGGAGTTCGGTCGTCACATTCGATCTGATGTCCTCCATGGTTGCGAAACGCGTCCCCTTGAGGCCCATTTTCAGAGTAGGGAACAGCCAGAAGTCACTCGGAGAGTATGGTGGTTGGGTGATGACGGGAATGCTTTTCTCGGCGAGGAATTGCTGCACAACCAGCGATGTGTTTAATGCGACAGCCGAACTCCGGAAGATTCCAAATGAAGCCTTCCGCCAGTGCTTCCAACAATCGCAGGATCAATGGAGTAAGTGTGTGTGTGTGCACAAGGGTCCTACTTTGAAGGTGATTAGGAAAGCGTTGCCATATGTTTTACCATTACAGTGCTATACCACAATTCCGGGAACTTTTTGACTGCCCTATGTATGTTTATTATTTGTTTGATATAAGGTTAGTTTGTCGTACATAGAAATTAAATATGTAAACTTTCATTACTAACCTAACTGCTGATCACAGGGCCTATCGTTTTGTAGCAGTAGTAGATTGTGTCTTGCTATGTTTGCATGTTTCATGTTGATTTGCTAGCATTTTATATGTCTTGATGTTCAGTCCAGAAGGAGACTCCTCTGTAACACCAGCTCAAGTCCAAGCAAGGCCTGTTCACAAGTGGCCTCTTCGCCCAGGTGTACTTGTGCATGTCAATGGAGCTCACAGCTTAAGTGTAGGCAGACTGCCTCAACAGCAATACGATGGAACTATTAGCACTAGCACACCAAATAACACTCCCACCAGACTAAAAAGTTCAGTACCAATACATAAAGTATGCAGGAAAGACCATATTAAGAAGGCTGCTAAAAGATTGAAAAAGAGACATGCTACTAGTATTTCCAATCTTCAACCTGATGACACTAATCAACATAGTAGAGCCAACAGGATACGCCAAATGTTTTCCAGTGATGCCAGTAAATACCATCCAGAAACATTGTCAGGGGTTATTCATGGTAAATCAGGAGGTAAGGAGGCATTCTTTTCTCACCCGTTTTTAAATAAGGGACTAATTTTCAGAAACAATTATGCCTTCATGAAGGGAGACAAAATAAATGCAGATCTTCTTCTATTGTTATTATATCTGATTTTAAAATATCACATTGAGACTTAGAGTTCCAATTTTTTCCATACAATGAAGCTTAGTTACAAAGCATCTTAAATCTGTAAACTCTAAATTATTATAATAGTAATAATCAGAATTACAGTGATTTAGATCAATATTAGTAATGTCACTGTTTTAAAAATTTCTCAGAATAGTAATCTAATTAATCCTAAACACAATTCTTTGTTGTTTAATTTGTGGCTGGGGGGGAGGATAATTACATTAGCATAATATTAATAACAACATTGTTAATGGATATTAATGAAAAACATTTTTATATCAGGTCCTATGGATAATTAAATAATGCATTAGTTTTACCAATACTTAAAGCACAGTATAAATGTTAAGTTTTTTATTTATCTTTGTACTTCATTTTGTGACATGTGTTATATTAATGAGATGAATAATTGGTATAAAATCCCTTTATTTTTTTTTCTCCTCAGAGTTTTCATAAACTATACTTTAGTGCTAGTATATAAAAATTATCACCTACTACCATTTTATTGATCCTGTGTTTTACTTTGTAGGTGCATGCAGTAAATGTCAGAGTGCATCCAATATACTCATACAGATTAACTACATACCATACATTGTTGGGTATAAAATCCCTTTATGTAGTTAGCATTCCTATTTCATATTCAGGAGTTCCTGTGTTAAACTCTCAGCCAGGAGACCAGCTCTCCTCACTGAGGTTTGGTTAGCATTCCTATTTCATATTCAGGAGTTCCTGTGTTAAACTCTCAGCCAGGAGACCAGCTCTCCTCACTGAGGTTTGTTGTGGTTTTCCTTAGTCCCTCCAGGCATATTCTGGGATAGTGCCTTAAATTATACCATGACCACTTCCTTCCACATCCATTCAAATTAACTTTCACTGTCATCCTCTCATTCGACACTATATAATCTGAGCTACTGAAATATAATAGCATCGTTACATAAAATACATACATTTAAGTCTTTGTAAATATTTTTTGTAACACCAGCTCAACAGAGTAGTGAGTCAAAATAAATTATTAAAATGCTTCTTGAAAGTGTCTGTTAAGTTTGTTATAACAAATTTTTACTGTATTTACAAGACAAATTATTAAAATATCCAAAATACTTTATGTTGTATTTCAAGAGAATTCCATTATTTTTTCACATTGCTAAATCACTGTCAGTCTTAGATTATTAAGGAATAATGGTTTTGACAACCTCATAACAATACTTTAATTTTTCTTTTGTAGCGTTTTGGATTAGTGGCATTTTTCACATAATACCAGCAGTCACAAACATAATAATTTCATCTTTTGTATGTTATCAAGTAACTAACTTGCTTATATTTAAGATTATGTTGGTAGCATTATTATTTATTTTAGTTGCTTTGTCATTTGCATGGTTTGTGCATTGTGTTATGATTTTAGTGGTGACTTTCAAGAAATTAGATGGTCCACTCAACAGTGGGGTGTCAAGGAAACGTAAAAAACCTGGGACAGGTTAGTGTATATTTGTGATTTACTGTAAATATTTTACAGATCAGAACCAGTGTATTCTGAGAGTTTGGTAGGTTACTAAATTTAATTGCATAAGGTGTGTTACTCAAGTGTAAACAAATGTAGTTTAGTTACTTTCATTTCATTCTTATTTGTTCTTACTCACCAGCTGGATGAAAATTGATGTGTTGTATGACAATATTATGAACTGACTTTACTACTTTGGCATTTAAAATGTGCACTAAGCTTGTTTATAAAGAAAACATGATATAGGGATTACATGCTTTGGGGATTGTTTAATTACATAATACGTTACTTCCAAGTAGGTTCAAAGTCTGCTTGAATAAATTACAAATGAAAGGAAACATTATGAAGTTTCTGAGTTTAAGGCTGCATAGAAACATGGTAATTTTGTCATGTCTTCCTAAGATCAAAATTGTACCACAGGCATATAACCTATTTCCTTTAGGATGATTACTGTTTGTACTTTCAGAGCCTTAAGAGACTCATAGCACCGTATTTTATATTAAAAAATATATTTTACCTTGTATTATATTAATGCCTACATATCCATGATGGTGTTTATATTATGATGTTTCTATTTTAAGTGTGCTTAAAAAGCACTCTTAGTTTAGAAAGTTTTCTTTTTGATAAGATTTAGTTAGACACCTTAAATAGTTTTAGTATATTCATCTTCTAATTTCACTTGTATTACTCTTGAAATGCATGGTCCCCCACCCTACCCTTATCATATATGGAGGAGGTTCATCTTGTGTACCACATACCCTTTGAAATTTTCCCATTGGCACAACAGAATCATCTTCAGGATTAGTTAGACACCATTGATCTTAATTACTTGTCATACATGACAGCAAATTGTTCATGGTGTAAAGCTCTCACTGTAATCTATTCTCTGTACTTGAAAGTATTGTCCTTTTATTTTATTTTTTTAACTCCTGCATCTCACATTACTGAGGGAATGGGATTTTGTATCCTAAGCAGTATGTAAATAGCCATATCCCTTTATTGTAATTAGATATTACAGACTAAAAATATTGGAAGAGATAATGATAAGTATGTTTTATTTAAATTATATTCTGTTTATTTTGTATTAAATAAGAATGTAGAGTGAACATTAAAATAATGTGTAACATCAGAAAAGTATGTATATTTTAATATCATATTAGCTTTAATTTATGGAAATTTGGAAATTAAACTTAGATACTGTGGAAATGACCTTAGTAAGAAATATATTTGTTAGTAAATATATAAGTTTTATATGAACTGATTTTTTTCCTTCCTGCAAATCATTCGGTAAAAACTAATCATATTTTGGGACTCCATCAGAATTTTATTTATTCTGCGTTTTTACATTGTTTTAAATTAGCAGTTCATAAAAGTTTTTATTATAATTTTTATATATACACATTTTTTAACAATTTGTTTGGATTGTTTGTAGACCCAAGTCCATCAGTTACCAAAGATAAATCCAGGCCTGATCTTGCTGGGTCCCCAAGTGATGGTTTTCTACCACCTGATGGGGACAAGGCTTTCTATGAGAATTTGCCCTTCCATGGCATGCAGTCAGCACCAAACAAGGTAAATACACTTTATATAATAACTTGCATCCCACATCTAACTGGACAGACATTGCATTTTAGTAGTATCTGGATATATGTTTCATGATTGTAGTTCCTGCAGATATATATTATTTACATACTTAAGAACTAAGAAAAGAAATATTTAATTTTCTACAACGAAACCTATCACTTTATTAACACATCTCCACATTAAGTTTAAGAATATGTGAAGATGAATTGGTAACAGTTATTCAATCTGATAACTAACCAGGGCCACATGTAGAGAAACAGATGGGGGAGTTTGGTTTGTAGTTAGACTTATGTCTTTATATATTACTGTTAGTTGCTAAAAACAGACTATGTGACTCAGTTGTTTTTAAATAGCCCATTCTTATCCTAAAACTGCCCTATGTAAAGATGAAAGTTGAGTGCCAACAGAATGCTTTCTGTGGTGGCTGAGTGTGACATCCTTCTGGTCTGTTAATTATAATTGCAATGCTAATGTTACTGACTGAGTCTCTTTGTGATTGTCCTCTGCAGTGAATGTTCATTGAAAATGTCGTGTTTAATACAGAAGTTACAACTCCTTGTTCTGAAACATTTTCCTTCTTATAGGATGCGGCTCTTTTCACTCCACCTCTTGTTTTTGAAACTGCTGTCTAACTGCTGTACAATAACTTTAATTTTTTATGTAAGTTAATTTTGTTTATGATTTCTATTGCAGCATGGTGTTGGTACATTGATGTACTGTTAGGCCAAATGTACAGCATGGTCCTCAAAATTAATAACTAAACCATTTCATTAATAAAAATTGTCACTAATTGAATCACTGTGACCAGTCAGTGACTTGAGAATAGTGGCTGACTCCAAAGTATGTGTGTTACATTTATTTTCTTTGATTTCAAACCATTTATTGACCTTTCCATTCATCCCAAATTTTTAGTTTTTTTATTATATGTTTATGGCTATACTCTTGAAATCAGTTTCTAAAAATGTTTATTTTAATTAAAAATTAGAGTGTGATTGCATATATTTTACCCTTTTTAATTTTTAGTTCAATATACAATGTTGGCAAGACTGTTTTCTTAATGAATGTGCTTCAGTGGTCACCACACAATAACCAGGGATGAAAGTTTAGGCTGTGCTTAGACTAATGTATGAAACAATGAATATCAGTCAGTGGTTAGATTACAGGTATGACTTGTGACAGTCTGTAACATGAAATTTACAGAAATTGCAGTAATAGAATATCTTAAAATGTATACAATGAGGCAAAAAGCTAATATATTAATTTAAACTGGATTATATATTTTGTATTCAAGTTTAGAATAACAATTATACTCAATTTGATACAGAACAATCTTACCCACATAAGGTTGTCTTCTACTTTTATTTTAATAAGAACACTTGAAATTTGTGAGGGGGATTAAATCGAGAAAAATGAGATGGTCATAACATAATGGCTCACAAGATGACAAGAAATCTATGAACAATTTTATTTGGAAAATCTCAAGGGTAGAAACCACTTGGAAGTTCTGAGTATAGACGGGAGAATAATAATAAAATGGATTTCAGGAAAGTAGTAAGTAATGGTGTAAACTGGATTCAGTTGTCTGAAGATAGTGTCCACCAAACAATCAACAATGGTATATTCACAGAATAATATGCTGTAAAGCAAATTTCTAAGGAAGAAAACTTTTGGACAAGAATCACCCTGTAGTCTCCCGTTTAGGAACAAAATTGTTTGCTTTGGCAGGGAGATTACAGGAGCAACAATTACAAA